CCCCCCCCCTTGTCGGTAACAGAAAACATCACTTTGATATTTTGCTTTGTTTATCTATGGGGCTCAAGTATGCAGACATGCCTTTTTCCTCTTGATGTTCACATGTAATATGTTGAGTCTATTTGAGGTGACTTTCATTTAATCACACCACTGTTGATGGCTTCCTCTTAAGTTTTTGTCCTAAGACCACAAAAGTGTGATGAGGAATCTTAGAAATGATCAGTTGAGACTCTCTCCACGTCCCCAAAGATCTCTATGCACTTGCCCCAGGCAAGTGAGATCTTCACGTGTCTGGGAGCAGGACAGTATATAGATTCTTGATCTATATCTTCCATTTTTGGGCTGCTTGCCTGATTGAAGTACCAATGGTTTTCGATACTCACACCATCCTACTAAAAGACCTAGGATTCCCAATCAAGCTAGCAGTAGTTGGTGATTTGGTGAAGCCGTAGGTATGCTATATAGTTGAGTCCGAAACCTAAATGTGGTCTTTTTAGACTCAAATGACCGAAATGAGTGAAAAAAAAATGTCACCAAACTATACATAGCGCCCGCGCTATATATAGTTTTGATTAGACTGGCAGGTATAGCGCCTTTATAAACGGAGCAATACATATTTTGTGGGCCCAACAATAACTCTTCTGCGATTAACTGACATAACAATAATTCAAATGGGTACCTCAAAAAATTGGACCCCTCGGGTTGGGCATAGCCTTATTTAAAGGCGTTAAGGATTTTGCAAAAATACATTCAGAAATCTTCTCAACTCTTGTTAAATTTTTCTTGTTAAATNAGACTGGTATCGTTGTTGTGTAACAAAATGAGTGTGAGCAAACGTTCGGTGAACCTTAAAGTAATCGGAAGATATCTGTATTCTGTCACTCCGCAAGGGGTTGCTTGTTATGCTAAGTTTAACATCGAGGATGATGAAACTTTGAGTGATTTTTTGAGGATTCCGGATAAATACCGGGAATTTCTTTTGATAAAAATGTTGGAAATGTACGTGAAGGTTGAAAATGTTCGCAATAATGAGGTGGCGCAAAGCAGGGATAACCCTCAGTCATCGGGTGGTTATTCTGGAGCAGTTTTTGCCGAACATGTTCCGGCTGAAAGAGTTTGGCCTGATTTAAACTTATCTGTCACGACCCAAAAATTTCACCTGTCGTAATGGCGCCTATCTCAATACTAGGCAAGCCAAAAATCCCAATAAACTACCATTTCTTTTAAATTTGTAAACAAAATAATTAAATTCAGCGCAAGAAATCTCAAAATTTCAAATATGTCACTCCCAAAACCCGGTGTCACTGAGTACATGAACATCTAATGTGAATACAATGTTTGACTAATAAAAACCACTGACTGAAAGTATAGAACAATACAATAACTGAAGGAAAGAGAGACAAGGTCAGCGAACGCCAAGCACCTATCTTGATAGTCTCCAACTGATAGTACTCTGAAATCTAACAATCTCCATGTCCGAAAGTACCTAGATCTGCACGCGAGGTACAGAGTGTACTATGAGTACAACTAACTCAATAAGTAGCAAGACTAACCTCTGGGCTGAAAGAAATGATGAGCTCTGCAGGTATAGTCCAGTAAAAATAATGGTATAGAAATGTAGGCATGCTTTCAAGTTCAACAGATAAACTCAGTACAAGTGAAATAGATCAATACTGCATGATATAAGGAATATGACATCTCAGTAGCATGACCTCCTGTAGATATTGGTCACCAACTATTCGGTCACTCGATACAGTTTACGGTCAGTCCAGCCCCGGGGTGTTCCAACCCATATATATATACACCTCGACTAATAGTAAGTCATTCAGTACCGTATAAGCCCAATCCAGCCCTGAGGTAATTTATCCCCAAATGCAAATGATACGGACAAGATCCAAGTCCAGGTAAATTCATTACAATATAAATAAGTAAGGCAAATCCATGCCCTGGAAAAATCCATCCCAAATATATATATAAGCAGTAAGTAAGGCAAGTCCATGCCTTGGGAAATCCATCCCGAAAATATGGCACATAGCCTAAACATGATCTTTATTACTAGCCTCAGCTTAATTCCTCTAATACGTGCCACATGTTCAGATAATAACATGATTCTTTAATTTTTACTACGTCATAAGATTTATTCAAGACACACTTTCTGTGGCGCACGTCTACATGTTCGTAACCTATCGTGTGTATCACCTCCAAACAATTCATATCATACCAAATTCGGGGATTCATACCCTCAGAACTAAGTTTAGAGGTGTTACTTACCTCCAACCGTATAATTCTTTACTCCGCTATGCCTTTGCCTTGTGAATTGGCCTCCAAACGCCTCGAATCTAGCCACAATTAATTCTATTCAGTCAATAAAATTTATTGGAATTAACTCCATAAGAAAATGCTAATTTTCCATAAAAATCCGAATTTTAGCTCAAAAATCGCCCGTGGGACCCTCATCTCGGAATCCGGTGAAAGTTACAAACTATGAACGCACATTCAACCACGAGTCCAACCATACAAATTTTACTCAAATCTGACATCAATTCGACCCTCAATTTCTAAATTAAACTAAGAGGGTTTTTCACAGTTTTTCCAACTTAATTCACCCATTAAATGATAAAAATAATCATAGATTCGAGTAATTTAACCAATATTGAGTTAAGAACACTAACTCGTTGTTTCCTCTGAAAATCTCTCAAAAATCGCCTCTTCCCGAGCTCCAATCCGTCAAAAATAAAAAATGGGACAAAGTCCCATTTTCAGAACTTAAACTCTCTGTCGAGTGATTTCTTCTACGCGATCGCGTAGCATAAATTTTTACTGCCCATAAAAATAACCCTACGCGATCGCAAACTATCCCACGCGATCGCGAAGTTCAAACCTATAGGCCCACGCGATCGTAAACCATTTCACGCGATCGCGAAGCACAAACGCATGGCCTTCCCTGCTGCTCCACTTACTCTACGCGAACGCGACCTCCTCCACGCGGTCGCGAATACCAAATTCCGACACCTACGCGATTGCAACCCTATTCACGCAATCGCGAAGAACAAAAATATCACTGCCTCAAACAAGCCTACGCGATCGCAAACTATCTCACGCGATCGCGTAGAACAAAGTCGCCTCTGCCCAAATTACACTACGCGATCACAGACAAACTTACGTGATCGCGTATAAGGAAATCAGAAGAAGAAAATACCAGTAGCTATTAGCAGTCTCCCAAAGGCCAAAAGTGATACGTTAGCCGTCCGAAACTCACCCGAGCCTCTCGGGACCTCAACCAAATATACCTACAAGTTCTAAAATATTAACGAACTTAGTCGAACCCTCAAATCACCTCAAACAATGCTAAAACTATGGATTACACCCCCAATTCAAGCCTACTGAACTTTGAAATTTCTAATTTCTACAAACGATTTCGGAACCTATCAAATCACGTCCGATTGATCTCAAATTTTGCACACAAGTCATAAATGACATAGCAGACCTATAAAAATTTTCAGAATCGGATTTCGACCCCGATATCAAAAAGTCAAATCCCCGGTCAAACTTTCCAAAAATTAAACTTTCGGTATTTCAAACCTAATTCCTCTACGGACCTCACATTAATTTTTCGGACACGTCCCTAAGTCCAAAATCACCATAGAGTGCTATTGGAATCATCAGAATTCAATTCTGAGGTCGTTTACTCATAAGTCAATATCCAATTAACTTTTTCAACTTAAGTTTTTAATTATGAGACTAAGTGTCTCATTTCACTTTAAAATCTTTTCGGACCTGAACCAACTTACCCGATAAGTCATAAATCAACTGTAAGGTATAATTAAGCAGTAAATGGGAAAATGGGGTTGTGATAGTCAAAACGACATGTCGGGTCGTTACATTCTCCCCCACTTAAATATACGTTCGTCCTCGAACGTGCCAAGAGTTGTTCTTAACCTTCAAATCTCTATTCCACCTTACCACGCATATACCCGGGGGTGATCCCACGCCGCCCTATTCTATAGATCTGATAACACAACACAATTGAAGATCATTAATTTAACTATAGCCAAAAACCTCGGAGCCAAATTTCTAACATCCAAAATTCTTTTCAAGACCCGAATCTCACATCTACCCATTGTATAAGCCTGAACAAGCTGTACCCAGCCATAATCATAATCCCAGTTACAATCGCATAACATACTACACAACTCGCATACTCGTAACACAATTTATGATCATAGTAACTACTCAAAATCAACCAAGTACTAGTATAAAACCTTGCATTTAATAGAACCTCATTCCAAAATCTTCATACACTTCCAATAATGAAAGAACAATAAAAACTCATAACCACTCATCAAATCAACTAGCCATGGAGCTCTCTCGCCCCAACAAGAACCACAATCACTTTTCAAGCCGAATTTCAATATTATCCTCCTAATATACCGTAATCAAACCTGATAGTATACATTCTAGGTCCAATGACCTTATAGTATTAAACACAACTGTCCCATTGACATGCCACATCAATACAACTCAATCCATAACTGCGCAACCTTGTAGCCAAAATGGAAGATGTCTCAAAGTAGAGAACCGTATTGTAAGTTCAACAAGCACCACCACAACTGTAATGCTATAAGCTTATTATATATATAGTAAAACCAAGACACATAAATTTAATAACAGTAACCAGCTCTTCTAGAACTCACATTAACATCACTCGCACGGACAACTCACATGCTATAGTATCAATATCTGGACCCAGACGGACAACTCACATGATAATAATATAAATATCTGGACCCGCACGGACAACTCACGTGCCAATAATATCAGTACATGGATCCACACGGACAACTCACGTACTAGTAACATAATTCACCTGGCATGGTCACAGGCCTTTAATTCAAGCATATCATACAGGAGCAATCAAATAAGTACACACGAACCATCGTAACTGATC